CGCCAAAATGCGAAAAGTGATTTGAATCAAGAGATACTTTGCTGACCGTCGATTCATATAATAAGCTCTTCAGAAAAAAAATTTGAACCGATTCTGTTCTCCGTATAAAAAGTCGGTTTTGCGCTAATGATGTATGTGTTCTTACAATCGACTACCCGAAAGTATGCTTCAGACGTAGCTTTCACAGAAGTAGTTTTCTTTGTCTATCTATAGAATATAATCCTTCAGAACTGCTCATGTGAACATCTCAAATAACTTCATCTGAACAACTTTTACTGATGATTATGAAAATCATATTACTTTTTGATTTATAGAGCATAATTGATAGACAAGTTGTTCTCATGATATGAAATGTGTTTAGATGTTACCAACAAAGTACATCTAAAGAAGATTGTTCTGCGAAACTTTGTTTTACCTCTTCTTTCTCGATCTTGATTACTTTTCGCAAAGTACGAAAATATTTTATCACATCTATAAAAGTGCTACTTGTTTTTTTCTCTTGATAAAGGGTACGTGCTGAAGGCGTCATGAAGAGAACAAATAAAAATGAATATTTCTTTGGAGAATTTTAATTTTCTTTCTGTTTAATGTTTCTTTATATCACTTACACTTGTTGTACTTCTATTCACATTTTCAAGCAATTATGAAACAGCTAACTTCTTGGATACCTTGTTCATAATAGACACTAATCAATACTGAAACAAGAAACTGCTCTTGTTTGTAATGTTGATGAGGCTTCTTATTCTATTTCTAGGAAGTGCTGTACCTGGCTTTTATCCCCACTACTATATATGGGTTCGATAAGGGAAGAAAATATAGTACTATCTCGCATCGGACAACGTTTAAAGATATGTGTTTTTCTAACTCCTATTCGATTTGTATATGTAGGCGGAGGAAAGGCTATATACAGTAACTTTCTTTTCTTTATATCATGCATCAGTTTTCTATCCACATTTAGATAATTGTTAATTGTTTTGTAAACATTGCCTCATAATACGACTGATTTTGAGCTTTGTGGCTTTTGAATTTGATTATCCTGTCTACGCCATAGCAAGAGAAAAGTTCCGCGGTTCAGTGACTTCTTCCTCTGACTGATTAATGGGTCATTATTCGAAACGAGTAACCGAAATAGTTCTCAATCATGCATAAATAGCACTGATTTTTATTTCAACTAGAAGCAAATGTGTAAGCGCAAAAACAGGACATACCCGTCAGTAAAAACTCCGTTTCTTATAACTGTATAAAAGTTTAATTTTGGAGACTTTATTTCTCAGCCTCTAAGCTTGCAGAAGGCCACGTGAAGGCCGACGTTCCGAGTTTTCGAAACAGTTTTGCTTATAAAAATATAGGCTAAGCTGTTTTCTTTCGATTGCTGAAAACTGCAAATCTCTATCTTTTATTATGTTTGAGTTACTCGAAAAACAACCACCTGCCTTATATTTTAGGATGGATAATAGTCAAGAGGGAAACCGCAGATTTTGTGACTTTTGTAATCTGGACTCCGTTTCACAGACAACCAATTTTTTTCAAATTGTGTTGTACTTCTAGAGACTCCTTGGTATTCTTCGTGACTTTGCTGAGCCCGAAGAATTTTCCTGACTGTTTTGAATTTTCCAGCGTTTTTTCCGCTTAGCCCTATTTTCAGTCATTTTTACAGATTTTCGAGATTTCATCGGATTCTAATTCCTTTTTCCGATTTTTTCTTATGCTCCCAGGGATTTCTCCAGTCTCTCAAACTTTGGGACGTTTGTATAGGATTCTCTAGGCTTCGGTAAGTCTGAGAGTCCACAATTGGAATTCTGCTGTTTCCCCCTTGCGTTTCCCACTTGATAATAGTGCTGCCACATACTGTAAATTAAAGATGGATTTTAAATGGGATGGTACATCGTCAATATTATTTTTTGTGGAGTGTATTTCTTTTAACGATATACATGGACAGTGTTTGCATGGTTTATTATTAGCATAATGTACGACTTAAAAATCTGATCAGTGGTAGAAGTGCTTAAAATGTGTTTGTATCTGAGCATGAGGCGAAGAAGATAAGAACATTTCTTATGACTTCAGGAACATGCAATGACCAATCTAACGATTTCGTTAGATAGATTCCGAAATGTTTGTGACTATCGACTATGACTAGTGGAAGTGCATCAAAATCCACTTGGAGTGTTCTCTTCTACTTATTCTTTACAAAACTAAACGACAACATGTTTTACTTTGTTTTTGTCACAATAACCGATCAATGAAAGGAAAAGATGCTTTTCTACAAAAACTTTTCTTTTTCTTAACAAAGAACCCACCAAAAAAACGTTTGCGCAGACGATCTTATCGCTCAGAAAAGACAAACTCCGGTGCTCTGTAGATCTTTTGTCGTAAAAGATCATATATATTTGATTGTTCGTCAATCTGTTTTCGAATTGACTTTAACAAATGGGTGGACCGACAGACAAGAAACTCATTTCGCTGTTTTCTTTGACATAACCTTTTCGTTTTGGGAAAACAGAGCTGTGAAATTGAATCTTTTTCTTTGTCAATCATCGCATGACGAACGAAATATAAAAGAAAACGGGTTGTTGAACTTCGTTGAATCCAAAATTTAAAAAAATATCATGTCCATGTCAAATTCCGGCATAAGAAAACAAGTACAAGTACATATTACTAAAAAGCACACACTGCACATGCTACGCAGTGTAGCGGTTGTCGAGATGCCACAAAAGAATAAAATAAAATTCTTTTGAATTGATCAATTTTAATACAAAATAGAAGCTTTCAGTTTGATTTAGTTATAAAAAGATGGGATAAATAAGACGACAGTGATTGGACTAAAGGATGATTTAGTCACACGGTCTTCAAGTTATTGCATAACTGATAGCGATGATAGTAAGAAATATCACAAATTGAAAATATCGGGTGTGTTATAATGAATGAGTCTCTCAGTATTTCTAGCTTTTTCGTGTTCCTTTAGGATCTTGGAAATTTGAAATTTCCACTACAAATATCCAGGACTTTTACCCACATGTTTTTCAACTGTTTTTCAGAATGTCATTTCCTCGTCGACTGGAAGAAGACAAGCTTCTGAAATGGTCACCCACTTCGTTACTGGTCATTAATCACAGCTCTAGCCAGAAGGCTAACATGACACAGAGGCTAGCTCTTCTCGACTAACACGGTTTCGAGTTAAAATATTCATCTGTTTTTTAGAATTTTTGTCGTACATTACTAGCGAAACTTTTCAAAACCAGAGAAAAGATATGTGATTACGAATCTCACATTATTCTTTCAAAAAAGTTTAATTCTGGTACCAAAAATCCAGTTTTACGTTTTTTGGACACTATTTTCAGTTTCCTCATCTAGACACTATTCCTAATAAAAATGGAAGACCACACTAATCGATAGAGAATTTGATTCGTTACAAGATAGTATGTTTGTGTTGAAGTTTAGACTCAAAACAAGCTTTTTAATTGAGTTTTAAGTTTTAAGATTCTCACACAATTCTAAGAAAGTGAAAACATGTTTTCAGCTTTATTTTCACGTTAGTCTATATTAGATGCCTAAAATTAAGTCCGATGTGAAAATGAAATCCTTTGAGCAATGTTTAGTGCTCCAAGCTTTGTTGGGAAAAAAGTGTGTCACAGCGTCACGACGATAAAACACAATTATTGAGGGATGAAAAGCTCATTGGAAAGATTCTTTTTTAGCAATCAGTATACTGCAATCAGTCTACAAACTTTGATCAAGACGCTTTTTATTAGCTCTTCTAAATTCGCAGCAAACTGGCTTTTATTGAGAAGAACTTCGAATTTAGGATCTTTTTTGTCACTGCGTCACGCGCCGAAAAACGGTTCTAAAAATTCGAGTCTTTAGCCATATACCTTCATTTTTATGTCAAAAGTAGAGTATGGCAAGCTGCGTCGAATGGCGCAAGTTGCCAGCTCTTACACTTTTTGCGAAAAGCTCAAATTACTGTGTCAAAAATGTCACAGTGTCACGCTTGGACAAGCCGTATAGTTCAAGGATGGTTGTTATTCCACAACTTTACCTAACGTTTACGCATGTTTAGTAGGATATTCACTTTAACTAGTGTATTAACAATGTCTTTTCCTTGAGGGAGAGATATAGGCGTAACACGACAGAAAATGTTACTGGTTTTTCAAAATGGATTATAGCTGATGAAATTTTTTAAATGTGACTAATCTTAGTCATTCGCGCTACTTCATAAATTAATATCATCACTAGATATGTCAAATGACAATCTTATGTTATTACGACGACATTATTTTGAAAAAAAACAAAAAACAAGGATAATTATATCATGAGAAATGTATCTGTCTAAATGTCACCAGTAGATTACAATGAATTTATACTTATAATCTTTCTTTTCTTTACTGCACAATTATTTTTCTTTCTTGAAACCATGTCATCGTTATTTTTCTTGTCTTTCTTCAGTTGCGTAGTATTATCAATATCGAGTTGTGTACCCGATCCTCAATTGATCCAACGACAAGTGAATGATGCTCATATCCCCGGTATAGCGGCTATTGTTATAAATAGTTCACAAATTCTCTATCAACGATCATTTACCCATAACAAACAGTTTCAAGGTCAACATTTAAATGATAAAACAATATTTCTTCTTGGATCAATATCAAAAACAGTTGTAGCCATTGCAGCTATGCAACTAGTTGAACAAAATCAACTGGATTTGGATGCCGATATTAATACATATTTGAATCCACTACCAGAAATAGTTCATCCACTCTATCCTGACGATCCACTAACCATGAGACATTTACTCACTCATACTTCGAGTATCAGTTCAAATGTGGCAGTGGAAAATTCATTCTATTCCCCATTCGATAACTATACAGCAACAAGTTTAACGGAATTATGTTTGAATTATTTAATCCGTGGTGGATATTATTATTCACCGTCGAATTGGCAGGATTTTAAAACGGGTACACAAGTTTCCTATTCAGATGTGGGCGTGGCTTTAGCCGGTTTAATAATTGAATTGATCTCAAAGATGCCTTATGATAAATATATTCGTGAACACATATTCAAACCATTACATCTTGATGATGCCACTGTTGCTCTAGCCGATTTAACACCCGAACAACGAGAAAATATCGTGAAACATTATGCTTTTAATACAACTGTTGAGGAATGGTCTCGTTTTGCTCCTGAAATCGAATTTGTCGAATATGATTCTGATTATCCCGATATAAAATGGGTAAATATCGGTCCATATGGATTTATTAATTATCCTGCGCGTTTACTACGCATGTCAGCCTTGTCATTGTCCAAATATCTGTCGATGTTTCTCAATAATGGCACATTAAATGGTGTCACCATTCTCACTGCTCAATCCATTGCCGTCATTCGCACAATTCAATACCCGCAATATCCCGATATAGAATCTTTTGGATTACTCTGGTACTATAGTAATGTAACATCGTCGGATCTGAGTGTAACACGGCGATTATTAGGTCATCGTGGTACAACTCCCGGTGTTCGAGCTGCGATGATGATTGATCCCTTGACAAATATCGGAGTGATTCTGTTGTCAAACGGAGATATAGTTCTCAATGAATATCAAGGGCATATTCTGGCTCAACAATTAAATGATATTCTATTGTATCTGTTCGATTGTTATAGTTAAATCTATACAAAGCATTCTTTTTGTTGTGAAAAACATTAGCGAGATAGGTGGAACGACGATTTTAAAAATATATTCTACTATACCCATGAAATATTTTTGATACCCTAACGCAGGTTAGCACGCGTTAAAACAAGTAATAATTTAACGCATGCGCACAGGTTAAATGGTCTGGAATGCGTGCAAACGTGTTATCTTCTGAACTTGTATGA